GAAAGAAAGAAAGAAAGAAAGAAAGAAAGAAAGAAAGAAAGAAAGAAAGAAAGAAAGAAAGAAAGAAAGAAAGAAAGAGGAAGGAAGGAAGGAAAGAAGGAAGGAAGGAAGGAAGGAAGAAAAGAAGGGAGGGAGGGAGGGCGGGAGCCAGGAAGGAAGGAAGAGGCAGGCAACCTTCCTGGTACTCCCAGTTTTCGGCATTTATGTCTGTATCAGTTAGGAATGTAGTCAACTGCAAATAACAGAAAATCTAATTAACAGTGGATGAAACAAATAGGGACTTCTTTTTCTAAAATAGCAAAGGGGTCCAAAGACTTGTTGCATTGAATGTTGGTTCAGCTGCTCAGTAAAACCTTCCAGGGCCTAAGCTCATTCTGTTTTTCTCCTTTTACCATCTCTAGCATCTTGCTTATGTTCACTTTTCACCATCATAATTCTCCCTGGCCACAAAATGGCTGCAGAAGCGCCAAGCTTCTCATCTGCATGTTAAGACAGGGGGGAAAAAAAGGAAAAGGTGACACCAGCACAAATGTCCCCTTTATCAGGGAAAGCAGAAAAGGCTTCCAAAGGCCAGCAGGACTGACATCTCACTGGCTAGAACTGGGTCACATTGCCACCCTAGCTGCATGTGTCGCTGAGGAGGTGAGTATGTGGTGCGCTCTCTACCGTGGGAGGCAGGAGGAAGTAAGAAGTTGAGAATGACTGTGAACTTAGCCAATCAGTGGTTTCCACCACGGTATATAATCAAAGCATTACACTTCATTAGGCTTTCATTTTCACAACACCAAGAAGCAATGGCAGAGGGCACTGTGATGATAATGAAATCAAAACAAGAAGGAGTTTGCCGATGCCTGAATATATAATAAACTGGACTGATTAGCTCTATCTTTGGCTTCATTGGAAATTCAGCCCTTTCTGTCTACAAAGATAAGCTGGGGTAAGTCAGAGCACCAGGGTCCCTGTCTGCTTTGCAGATGGAAATCCAAAGCCTGAAATAATAGAAGAGCCACACGGAGGGGTTAGCTTGCTCTCATCACTACCCCACCCTCTACTTCAAAGCCTCATTTAGAGGCTGGAAGCCTTTGAAGCCTTTGAGTCCAAAACTGAAGCATCCCCCAGCAGGTCCCTGGTTTTGATGCGTTCAAAGCACAACACATTCGCATGTATTCAGCACTAGGAGAAGACAGTGATCTTCCAGATTTACCCTCTTCTACAGCTGATAGTTGTGGTGTGCTTTTTGAACGCTGTTGTTTTTGTTGTTGTTGAATTGAGTATTTTGGAAAATCACCACAAAAGGCACCAAGGGCAACGGGACTCATTTCCCACTCTCCTGAACCCCCTGGGATCTTCAATCTAATGATAAATGATCTTTCTAACAGGAATGCTGGGATAAGAAGACAACAGGCACTGCCACGGAAGATAAATCATCTGCGTACTTTTGTTCTTTATTCTAGGACAAGACCCATGGCTGTTTGGGGAGGCAGGTACGTGTCCACGTCTGGCAAGAAGAATACAGTGCAGGTAAGATGGGCTTCATGGCTCTTTAGGAGAATTCAGCCCATAGAGTACTATTACACCCAGGGGAGGACATGGACAGATAGAGGAGTAGATGGATGGATGGACAGACATCAAGAGAGAGACACATAAATGGAGAGAGGGAAAGAAGAAAAAAATAGAGGGAAAAAGCGAAGGAAAGGAAGGAAGGAAGGAAGGAAGGAAGGAAGGAAGGAAGGAAGGAAGGAAGGAAGAAAGAGAGAGAGAAAGAGAGAAAGAAAGAAAGAATCTGAACCTATACCATGGTTTGGCAAGAAGATAAAACAAATAGCAAATACAATTATTTGGCCTTAGGAAAACAAAGGTTAAAAATCCCCAAATAAATATGTTTTGTTCCCCTTTTTTCCACACCCTCCAGGCTTAGTAATACAATCCGGATCTAAAGGGGCTTTTAATTACTTACCCCATCTTCTTTCACATCACCCCCAGCCCCTGGCTTTCCCTGCGGTTGGCTATCAGTACAGAGACGAGGCGGCCAGGTTTATAAAACCCAGTCAGGTTGATATTGGTTTATCACAACAGAAATAGAACAAGAGAAAAAAATGAGAAAAATTAACACCCTGGCTCCCAGCTAAATTTCCTTTTAGTTTAAGCGAGACCACAGTTGTTTTAAGAATTTACTACTGTGTAAAAATGCTGGTATGTCTAGGAGTGATCTCAGAGTAAGATCACTGAGATCCAGATACACTTGACAACGCCACTGTGTTATTCACTGGCCGGCTCTCAGGACTATAAAAGAAGAGGGGTAATAATTAATAAAGCTGACAGCAGAAATTCAACTAAGACCCTAAGACCATAAATACACCTTGCTGCATCAGTCTGTCTTGCCAGGAACATTACATTCCGTTTGGTCCTTCATGCGCCAGTACCAGAATTATTATGATAGCAACTTTACGACGGTGGAGTGAAAAGAACACAAACTTAGTTTCAGAAGACCAATGCGGGATCCGGCAGGTCCTATCTGTGACCTTGGGTGAATTCTTTAACTTCCTGTGCCTCAGTCTCTTCCTTTGACAAATGGAAATAACACTCATACCTCAGAGGATAATCTCACTCACTGAGAGGATGGCCAACGCGTAAAATTCCTCGCACACGGCAGACACCCCCCAAAAATGGCAGCTTCCTTCCCTACCAATAGGAAGACGAGAGGATGCATGTGCCTAGAAAGAACGTGCTTTTCCAGAGGGCTGTCCCAGTGGCAGTTCTGGGGCTGTGTGACACACGAGCTGCAAGGTCACAGCGAGCATCCCTCTGCTCTGATCAGTTCTCTAGTGATGACAAGACACTCTCTTTAAGGCTATTGGTCAGAGTTAGAGATTTTAGCGTTGCAACGAAGCTTACCAATAGGGCCCCCAAGAGCGGTCTTGATATGGGCCTCCTTTTTAAAAGGTTTTTAAAATATTTATTTATTTTTGAGAGAGAGAGAAAGAGCACATGTGGGGGAGGGGCAGAGAGAGAGAGGGGAGACACAGAACCTCAAGCAGGCTCCAGCCTCTGAGCTGTCAGCACAGAGCCCGACGCGGAGCTCAAATTCACACACTGCAAGCTCGTGATCTGAGGTCAGACATTTAACTGACTGAGCCACCCAGGTGACCCGGGGCCTCGTTTTCAGAAAAAAGAAAAGAAAAGAAAAAAACTTTTTTTAAGTTTATTTATTTTGAGAGAGAGAGAGAGAGGGAGAGGGCATAAATGGGGGAGGGACAGAGATAGAGGGAGAGAGAGAATCCCAAGCAGGCTCTGCACTGTCGGTGCAGAGCTCAATATGAGGCTTGAACCCATGAACCATGAGATTGTGACCTGAGCTAAAACCAAGAGTCAGGCACTTAACCAACTGAGCCACCCAAGCGCCCCAATATGGGCCTCATTAACACCATACTATAGAAGCCAGGAGTCAGGAAACATTCTGCTGGCCAAATCAATTTTTATAAATAAAAATTTACAAAAATTATTGGGACAGAGCTTCACTCACGCATCTGCACAGTGCCTATGGCCACCTTCATACTACAGCAGCACAGCTGACTCGTTGTGACAGAGATCATAAGGCCCACAAGCCTAAAACAGGTACTATGTGTCACTTTACAGAAAAAACTTGCTGAGCCCTACTCTGAGCACCCAAACTACAACCGTATTCATATGTGAGAGATCACTTACTTGTGGAGCACTTTTTATAGCCCCAGTATTGTGGTAAGCTTGGTGTTACTTACAAATAATATGAACACCAGTCCCTGAGAAAGGGCTCGTGGTCTTATAAGGAGATGAGCAGGCAAAGCAAGCAAAGAGTTGTAGCAAATTATAAAGTGCCAGTTACATAATACAGGCTGCGGAGAGAATTCAAGACACACTGGAGTCTCAAGAAATCATCGCAGGAGGATAGAGGCAGCATATATGGATATGAAGCAAAGACATTTTCCCAGCAGCAGAGGAGGAGGAGAGTCAGAAAAGCAAGAAGGGGTATGGTGGCTGGGAAAGAAATGAGCCTTACTGCAGGACAGCCGGCTGGGAGGTAGGGGGGTGCAGTATGAAAGAAGGGGTACAATCTGACTATAGAAGCAGCTGGAAAAGCTGGGTCTGAGAGGTTGGAGTTGACTCTAAGCAAGAGAGAACCGTGGTGACTTCCTGTGTGCACAACTTTATGGTGAAAGTCATCTTGGGAGGAGAGAAATTAGAGATCAGAACTTCAATGCAGCTTTTAGCTAGACTTCTAGCATGATATGATGACATTTTTCCTCGAGTAGAAGGGAAATGGGGACAGATCTGAGAGACTTTGGAAAGCAAAGCTTGGCAACTGGTCCATGTGACATGTGAAGAGCCAAAGAAGATTCCAGAATTTCCTGCTAGGAAGCCTGGTGGAGTGGTGGGTACCACCAACAGAAAGGGGGACCCAATGTACAAGGGAACATTTATGCACCTTTTAAACAGACTCAATATTATAGAATTTCCGAATGCCAAAAACGCTGACTTGGAAGATTCATTTGTTGTGTGCAACCTCACAGCTTTGTTATTCATGAAACTTGCAAGATTTGAGGCTGAAGCACATCACGCGTTCCATTCATTCATTCCTTCAACAAATGTTACCTTAGCACTTGCTAGCATCTGATTACCCAAGTAGATCTGGGGATACCAAGATGAACAAAATGTGACCCTGCTTTTTTAAGGTAGACAATAAATCTGGTAACAAAGTCTTCACTAATAGTGGAAACACACTTAAAAAACTAACCCTAGCTCAGCTGAGTGGCATAACAAATCTAAAAGGAGTGCATGGTACAGAAGGAGGGTAGGGTGGTCAAGCAACCAAGGAGCACAAAGCAATTTGAATTATAAATATCAAGGATGCAGGATGGGGTGCCTGGGTGGTGTCCGACTTCAGCTCAGGTGATGATCTTTCAGTTCGTGGGTTTGAGCCCCATGTCGGGCTCTGTGCAGACAGCTTGGAGCCTGGAGCCTGCTTCAGATTCTCTGTCTCCCTCTCTCTGTGTCCCTCCTCCACTCATGCTCTGTCTGTCTACCTCCCTCTGTCTCTCAAAAACAAAACATTAAAAATTTTTTTAAGGGGCGCCTGGGTGGCTCAGTCGGTTAAGCCTCTGACCGGCTCAGGTCATGATCTCATGGTTCATGGGTTCGGGCCCCACATCGGGCTCTGTGCTGACGGCTAGCTCAGAGCCTGGAGCCTGCTTCAGATTCTGTGTCTCCCTCTCTCTCTGACCCTCCCCTGCTCACGCTGTCTTTCTCTCTCAGAAATAAATTAAAAAAAAAAAAAAACTTTTTAAAAAAGAATGCAGGAGAATGGGAACAAATTTCTTAAGCAAAGAGAATATTACTCAGGTGAGAATGAATAAAGGGTGAAGATCAAAAAAAAAAAAAAATGACACACGAAAGGCAAGTGGCAATCAAGAGGATGCAAACCGAATCCCAATGACCGCAAATTGCTTCTATTTGTACATTCATTAAGCACCTTTATCCTTCACTTCAGAAAGGGACTTCCCTCGAATGCTACAAATCTTTAATCATAGGAAGGAAATTCACTTTGCAATAATTCGCTTTAGACAAATGAGGCACATTTTTTTCCATTGAGAAGAGATGTGTAGGCAGAGAGTTTCACTGCTGGGTAATGCAGCTTACCTAGCTTCCTACAATACACTTAGAAGGCATTTGAGCAACTCGCACACGTAGGTATTATGAAGCGTCTCACCGATGCAGTGAGAGTTACTACTCTTCAATGTGTAGGGCCGGGAATGCTGTATGTCCGGCAAAGCGTAGCATGGCCCCGCACCATGGAGGACTGTGCTACATTCTGCGCTGAACATTCATGTAAGTGAAAAACCCATGTATAATTAACTGAGCCTAGTGCCTAACTCCATTTTAATATAAACACTTTTTTTTACACTATTTTGGTACAGACTGAATTTTCCAAAAATGTAAATACATTGAAAGTTTAAAAAAAAAAATTGTGATGCTTTGCATTTTATGTGGAATGTTACCAAGTATCATCTCCCCTTTTGGACATTCATTTAGAAAATTATGTCACCAGGGGCGCCTGGGTGGCTCAGTCAATTAAGCGTCTGACTCTTGATTTCGGCTCAGGTCATGATCTTGCAGTTTCCTGAGTTCAAGCCCCACATTGGGCTCCGTGTAGGCAGAGCAGAGCCTGCTTGGGACTCTCTCTCTCCTCTCTTTCTGCCTCGTGGCCGCTCACACTGTCTCTGTCTCTCTAAAATAAGTAAATAAAACTTAAAAATTGTTTGAAAAGAAAATTATGTCACCAACAGCACTGTCGTTGGTGGTATTAGGCATTGTGTTAGCCATCACGACAAAAACATCTCTATCCATCTGCAGTTTCAGCTAGACCCCTCACAGTTAACTCCACTTGATTTTTTTTTTAGCTTTTATTCCAAAATGAGAAATTTCAGGCAAAAGTATAAGCACAACTCGGTCTTAACTGAAAACCAGATTTATTTGTTACAAACCAA